CGCTGTGAACTGAAGTCACCAAATGCCTATGTAGAAAATAAAGGTTGGAGTGATGTTGGGCATCTTCAGAGCAACAGTAGTAGTATACATTTCAAAATATATTTAAGTTCTCAAAAGTTGATTAATACAAGTCCTTTTAGAAAAGGAGTTGATTTATGAAAGTTGAGCTTCCTGCTTAGGTATCTCTGAAACAATATTCTCAACTTTTCAGCTCTCCCTGTTCTACTTCCAGGGAGGTCTTCACTTCAGAAATCCAAGACTCATATTCATCCAGCTTGGTGTCAAGTGGGCTGTTGCTGCCAGAATTATCTTGTGATTATTTGAGAGATGTGTCAGTTTCTTCTGAAGTATAATCAACTGTAGAAGCCTTTGTAGCAGGTGTGTAACAAGGCAAGTGCCCACAGCTGCTGCAGCCACTACTCTGGAGCTACCTTCTTGGTGAACATGAGGACTCAGCTGCCTCATGAAAAGCTCCAGGGAGCAGGGTGTGGTTCTTTGGAGCCCTTTGTTTCTTTGGCAGCTCTTCATGGATAATGTATTAGCAAAAACACCAATATGGAGGTGTAAATAAGGAATGCTATACTTTTTGTTCCTAGCTATGTGTCTAAGAGTAAATTAAACTGTGTATTAGTGTAAAATGACCTGAGCTTTCTCTGAACTGTGCATTAGTAAGGTTTTTGGTTGTGAAAACAGTTTTAAAGTGCTTATGATTTGAGAGTACTTACTAAGTCTGTAGATATCAGTAAAAATTGGAGCTTTTATTAAAGATAAATTTGCTCTGATGTTCTAAAGCATTTTGATGAAGAGAATCTATAATTAACATAGAGTAGATTTGTAGGGTTTGTTGTAACTAATTTGAGGTTCAGGAGCACCACGCTAATGTATAGCAGTCTCTAATGTATTTGAGTCGGTAAGTTTGTTCCATTTCTGATTATAAGGCAGAAAAGTGGTGTGCTGTCTGTTGTGAGTTGTTTTTGTCACCCAGGATTGCGGAGAGGTTAGTCTATCGCTTTGGTTTGAGTCTACATTCTTAGTAGGATGGAGAAGTCCTAGAAAGAGAGTCCCTGTGGTGTTTAAAGTGGAGGTGATTAATCTGGCAGTCAGAAAAACACTATAAACTCTGCTCACGCCCAACATGCTCATACTTACTTTCATGCTGGCTCACTAGAACATGCTATGTTTCATATATTTGGTTAAGCATTGTTATCAATTAACTTTTAATAGCTCTTAAACATTTTAGTAAAATATTTCTCAATGTTTTAAGTAAGATCAAGATGTCAGAACTTTTCTTTTTTGTTTGCTATAGGGTGTGTGTTCTCTCTGAAGCGAGAGAAAGAATACATGAGAAATAATTCCCTGGGGGATGGCCACTTAATTCACAATGCCTCCTCCATTCTTCTCTTGGGATTTTGTACATGCATGTACATGTATCCAGCATGTCTCAAGCTGCTGGGTCCAGTATTCAGCCACACTGTGGGCCATATTGGATCTATCCATCTTAACCACACTGGCTGGCCCCAGAACATACACCTTTTTGTGGCATTGGAGCCGTAAAATATTTTTGCTAGTGTAATAGGAAAAGACTTCTGGGAAAAGCATTTAGAACTGCTTTTAGGAGTCCATTAGTAAGATTGGGATATACTAAACCAGGAGCAAGGTTTTCAGGATCAGATACCCTTCTCAACCTACTTTATCCCTTTTCAGTTGGAATACGGGGCTTACAAGTGACAGTATATTTGAACAGAGTTTGTTGGCTCAGAGTGTGTTAGAAAATCTGTCTTGTGAAGGTACTTGTGTTTTGCAGATTGTTTTTTTGAAGGATTAGTTTTTCTTGGGCCTACATTTTAGCTTTAACAGTAACTGGTAGTTAGTTGAGCTTTGCATTTACATATGAAGCTCTTGGATTTCAAGGTTAGGGCTCCTTGTAACAATGTGAAAGATGGGCTGCCCTTTTTTTTTTTTTTTTGGAGAGGTTTTTGCTATAGGGTGTGTGCACTAGCCAGAAGGACAGAGAGAGAGAAAGTGAGAAATCACCTCCCCATGGGGGATTGACCACACCGCAATCGCTTGACTCTCAAATCTTGGGCACGCACACACATGCCCGGCGTGAGTTCAAGCCACTGGATTCGGGACTCGAATCGCTATCAGCTACATGAGAGTTCAGCGACATAACCATTATACTAACTGCTGGTCCCAAGATGGGCTGCCTTTTTCAGTACTCTTCCAGAGAGTTCGATACTTCCATCCCTAAGTTTAAGAACCATCCAACCAGAGTGTTGTGAAGTCTTTGGTCGATTTATTTCTGAGACTGTACTCTGGGCTAGGACTTTATGGGCATCTCAAAAGCCTTCAAGGAGCTTACAAGAAGATAAACTCCAACTTTATTAGTGATGGTTTTAGTCAACTGTCTTACTGAATTTCTCAGTATAATTAAGAAAATCAAATAACATTACAAATAACATATCTTTTTTAGTGGTTTCAGATGTGCCTTGATACTTTTCGTCAAATGTTGCCAATAGAATAAATTTTATTTAATTTTCCAACAGGGCCCTTTTGTCATCTGGGGGTTGGTTAATAACTACATTTGCTCCTCTTTTTAAAAAGAATTATTTATTTAATTTTATTTGTCATTATCATTTTTTTTAATTTGACGAGAGAGAGACACACAGAGAAAGGGAAAGTGAGAAAGCAAGCCATCAGTCTAGGACCCAAACTGCTGTTGGCTATGTGGAAGTCTAGCCCCTCAACTACCACACTACCCTCCAGTGCCAGTAGATGGCCTCAGTAACTGCATTTACTTCTAAAGAGACAGTTCCATTACAAAGCTAATAGCTCTTCCACAAGCATTGTATCTTCCTTCTAGGGCAGGACAGGTTTTCCAGGATTTCTATTCATATCAATAGTATGTATATGTATGTGCATGACGGTTTTTTGTTTTGTTTTGTTTTTTTTTTTTGGAGAGGTTTTCGCTATAGGGTGCGTGCGCCCGCCAGACAGACAGACAGACAGACAGAAAGCTAGAAATCAACCCCCAGGCAGAAGTGGCCTGGCTGCAATCCATTCTCTTCGATTCTCCTCTCAGGATCTTGGGCACACATGTACATGTGCCTGGCGTGAGTTTAAGCCACTGGGTTTGGGACTTGAACAGTGGTCGACTACGTGGGATCAGCAACAGCCATTGTGTCAACTGCTGATCCAAATAGTATATTTTTATTAATATTAATAACACCGTTATTTATCATCTGTTTTAGTTGGGCTTCAGTTGATTTTAAAAATTATTTTACTTCCACAGTACTCTTAATTTATACAGGAAACAGATCAGTGGTTGCTTGGGATCAAGCTAGAGATCTACTGCAAAAGGGAACTTTATGATAGTGCTGGTAACATAGTTAACTGTTTTTGTCAAAATTAGGTGCATATTATTACGTGTAAACTGTTGATAAGGATGGAAAGGGGAAAAGTTATTTCAAATTTGGGGTCTATTAGAATCAGATCAAAGATGAAGAGAATACAGCCTGTATAAAATGTTGAAATAGTCACAAAGAAAGGTAAAAAGGTTATAAACAGGCACATTATGGGAATTTTTATGTTAATGTCAATCAACTTACACTTATCTACCATGACAGTTTGTATGTCTGAAAATGGTTAGTTGGTTGTAGGGGTATGATAAAGGTCTAACACTCAGAGGTAGGTGAGTGTTAAATTTCTAAAAGGAGTCCTGGTTTTTAATTTCTTGACTGCAGAAATTTCACTAGCTTTTTAAAAATTGGGTCAGTTCCATGGTACTTTGAATGATGCTCAAGAGAAATCAGATCCCACATGGTGACTGCAGTTTGCATATCCAGCTTTGTCACCCTGGAACACACTTAAGACTTGCATATGCACAAGTGCCCAGTATCCAACAGGCTGGGGGATGGAGAGCACAGTGTGACCAGACCCTCTGGAGAGTGCTTATCATGCTCTCTTGTGTCTCTGAGGTGCACATGCTCTACCATGAATAAGTAGTGTGTGTTTTATAAGAAGCACAAAATAATAAATAGTACAATATTGGTTCTTCAATCCTGGGTAATAGGGCTATTGAACAGAGTTGTAATATGTGGGGAGAATATTTAAAAAGTTCATGGAGTATGTGTTTTATAAGAAAATTATACATGGATTTTAAGTTTTTAGCACCACATAAATCTGTTTTTCATAAGAAATCCCAAGTATGTACGCATGTAGGTTATCTTTTTAAGAAATTATGTGGAGCTTGTTTTTTTTCCTTTTCTTTTTTAATAAAGGTTTTTTGCCATAGAGTATTTGTGCCTGCTGGAGAGAAACAGAGACAGAAAGTGAGAAATCACATCCCTCAACCCCCTGGGAATGTTCATACTATATAATCCCTCCTCCTGGGATTTTGGACACATTTGGCACGTGAGCGTGGTGTGATTTCTTTCTTTTTTTTTTTGGAGAGGTTTTCACTATAGGGTGCGTGCGCCCGCCAGACAGACAGACAGACATAGCGACAGAAAGTGAGAAATCCCCCCCCAGGGGGGATGGTCATGCCCCAATCCCTTCTCCTCCATTCTCCTCTCGGGATCTTGGGGACGCACGCACACGCGCCCGGCAAGAATTTTAAGCCACAGGGCCGGGACACGAACCACGGTCGACTACGTGGGAGTCCAGCGACATAGCCATTACGCTAACTGCTGGTTCCCGCCTGGTGTGATTTTAAAGCCACTGGATCTGGGACTTGAAAGGTAGCTGGCCATGTGGGAGTCCAGAGCCTTAACCACTGTACCACCTACTGGCTCCTGGAGCTTGTTTTTTCAGTACATGTATATCTGTTGTCTTTTTAAAAATGGGTATGAAAGGGTATTAATAATTCAACATTCTGAAAGCGTCAAATGACGACATAAGTTCCTCTTTGAGTTAAGACAACACATTTTCATTAAATAGCTAATACATCGTTTTTAACTATTAAAATAATACAAACTTTGACGTAACCTCTGTTTTGACAGTTTGTTGCATATTCTAAGGACCCAGACATAGGCTTGGTGGCCCGTCTCTTGTTTTTCCTGGTTTATGACTTTCGGCTTTGTGGAATACGGCTGAGATGAAAGGATTTATTGACGATGCAAACTACTCCGTTGGCCTGTTGGATGAAGGAACAAACCTTGGAAATGTTATTGATAACTATGTTTATGAACATACCTTGGTAAGTGTGCCATCTCACATTTCTCAAATACAGTTGGCTCTACTTGTCTACCGGTTCTGTATTCCTGGAAATAGAGCATAATGCGGAAAATGTTACATGCGTGTGACTGACATGCAGTCTATAGTTAGCTCAATCATAGTCTGTACTGAACATGTATAGACCATTCTCTGAAGATATAAGAACTAATTATGTAACATTTACATTGTATTAGTTATTATACATAATCTAAAGATACTCTCAAGTATGAGAGGATCTGCATAGGTGATTTGTAAACACTTCATCATTTTATACAAGGGGCTTGGCATCCTCACCACTCCCCAGTTTCCTGAATTCTAAGACATCAGTGCTTTGTTAATTTCCAAGATATGCATCTGATAAATGTATGTAGTTTAGATGTTATTTTTTCTGGGTCAGTTTGTCTTAATTCATTCCCACTCTCATTCCCCTTGAGTAGTGCAATTCTTTTTTTTTTTCTAGCCCACATTGTTAAGAAAATGATTCTTGGGTCAGTCCTATAGCAGAACAGTTGAGGGATTCAGATCCTACATGGCTGACCAATTTGAATCCTGGCTCTGGTAGCGTGAGAAACGTGTGTGCATGCATGTCTAAAATCCTCATAGGCTAGAAAGGGGAGAGGATGTGATGTTGACCGTATCCCATTGGGGAGTGCTTTATTTCTAGCACACATGCGCTTGTGATAAAAGAGAAAATATATTTTTGAATGTTTCCTAATCTTTTCTGTGCTATGCCTGGTAGCATCTGACTCTTGTATACTTTTATGTTGCTGGCCAACCCTCTAATCAGTACATGGCTTCATACATCTCAGCTCTGCTCTTTAGTGGATTTCATTAACTTTCGATACACCTCCTTGTGTATGTTGACTGAGAATTTGATCATCTATATTAAATGTGTACTCTCCAGTGCCTCAGGAGTCAGCTACAGAATTTTACTTTCTATGTACGATTTTTATTTTGATCTTGAACTTACCGATAGACTTATTTTTGCTTACTGATTTGCTAATAGAAGTTTTTTCTTTATTGGAACAAATTTCGCTTATTCCCCAAATTTGAAGAATTATTTTCACATTATTGGTGTCCAGTAATAGGAACCCACCTTCTTGTGACTTCTCTGTACAGATGTACTCACCATACCCCAGCAAAATTTTCCATTTCTCTCTTCTCTGCCATCAAACTTCTGGGGAAAAATAGTGATAATTTGTCTTACTGTTCAACCAACTCCTGCCAACCTATTCTTAAGTTAATTTTCTGATGTTACAAAGAAACTGTTGATCAAATTTTGGTGACCTTACTCTTGATCACTTAACTTTTGGTTTCTGGCTTTTTTAGTAAAAGGTGAAAGATTTATACAATCTGAAGAGAAACCAGAGTATGGCTTTTTTAACACTCATCATGGAATGGATATGATCTTTTAAATATTCCTCTAGTCTGTTCTTGTCCTGTATGATTCCACACTTTGTGAGGGTTAGTCCTCAACCCTGTTTTCTTTTCCAGGAGTCTCATCTAATTGTGTGGCTTAGGGTGATCCTTCTCTCTTTTCTCTGAGTCACACTGTCCACCCTTTTTCTCCCTTAGTCTTGGTTTTTCCTCTATCACGTCTTTGTAGTCATCCCTTCCTCCATTCTCATATTCTCATCTCAGTTTGCCTTTCTACATCATTAGAGTAACCTCTTCCATTTTCTATTTTATGTTTTCCTAAGCCTGCTTTAGTTTGCTGAATAGTCATTAAATATAAAGCCTCTCTTCTCCCTAAGTTTGTTTTCCATTATCTATGGAGAATTTTTCAGACTAATCATGGCTAAGAAAGGAAACCAAGTGCTAGCTGTTGGCATGATGGGTTAAGGTGGCTGGATCCCACATGGCTGATTACCCAGTTCATTCCTAGCATCTTAAGAAATATGCCAGGTGTGTGTGTGTGTGCATGTGCATGCGTGCGCATGCGTGCTCAAGTTCATAAAAGGACAGATGAGAAGGATTGTGGCATAAACATCCCCCATGGGAAATGCTTTCTTACCTCCACCCAAAGCACATGTGACCTAGCAAATTAATTTTTATAAAAGGAAGGAAACTGGACACATTTGATAATTTTAAAAATACAGTTCTTTTGCTTATTATTCCCCCTCCTCTTTTTTTTTTTTTTTTTTTTAAATCAAGTTTTGCAGTAGAGCCCATGTGCTCCCTAGATAGAGGTGGGTGAGCATTGTAATAAATGATCTGAGAGAAAGGGGATGACCACACTTCAGTCCCTTTTCTATTCACCTCTTGGGATTCGGGGTATGTATACACACACACACCATGTGTTTTTCGAGCCTTGATCTGGGAGTCGAACTGCACACTTGACAATGTGGAATCTGGCCTCCTTAACCATTACACCACTGGCTGGCTCGATATTTTATTTTTTTCTCACTAAAGTAAATGTAGCATTTCGCTCTCCAGAATACTATGTATGGCATGTCTTGTGAGGACGAACAGCTTAATGTGACTATTCCAAATCTGCCCCACATAACCCACAATTTCACTCAGGTCATATCAACTGGGCAATATATTCCAGTTTTGAACATTTTCAAATAATGTGAGTTAAAAGAAAACAATAAAGTTGTCTTCATTGCTTTTCAGACAATATGTGATGTTGTACATGCTAAGTAAGAGTGTCTTTTTTTTTTTTTTGGAGAGGTTTTTGCTATAGGGGGTATGCACTCACCAGACAGACATAGAGAGACAGAAACCGAGAAATCACCCCCTAGGGGGGATGGCCATGCCACAATCCCTTCTCCTCTTGGGGTCTTGGGCATGCATGCACACGTGCCTGGCGTGAGTTTTAAGCCACCAGGTCCGAAACGCAAACCGCAGTCGACTACATGGGAGTCCAGCGACATAGCCATTACACTAACTGCTGGTCCCATAAGTAAGTGTGTCTTGTCTGTTACCTAACATTGGATAATCTGCTCTGGTGGACACCTACTGTTTTCTCTCTAGTCCTGGAATAGCCACAGCTTCACTTACAGAGCTTTTTTTTTCTCCTTTTTTGAGAGGTTTTTGCTATAGGGCACGTGTGCTTGCCAGACAGACAGACAGAGATAGACAGAAAGTGAGAAATCACCCCCCCCCCAGGGGGGATGGCCACACCGCAGTCCCTTCTCCTCCATTCTCCTCTCGGGATCTTGGCCACGCACGCACTTGCGTGCGGCATGAGTTTAAGCCACCGGGTCCGGGACGCGAACCACGGTTGACTATGTGAGAGTCCAGCGACATAGCCATTACGCTAACTGCTGGTCCCCTACAGAGCTTTTTGATTCCCAAGTTTTTTTTACTTATGAGAGAAGAGTATTCTTATTCAGGATTATATGACATTTGGTGCACTTATTCTTTTGGTCTAATTTTTGCCATTTCTATGGACACAGATCAACAACTTTTGTCTCCTTAAAGATGGTTTCCTGTGAAGTAGTTCTCTTATTTTACCATTTTAAGGTGTGCAGGTTTTTTTTTTTTAAATTTAATTTAATTTTTTAATTCATTTTAATTTGATCAAAGAGGAAGAGAGTGAAAGAGACAGGGAGAGCGAGAATGAGAAAGCAAGCCAGGTTTAGGACTCAAAACTGCAGTCAGCCATGTGGGAGTCCCACTCCCTTAACCACTACGCCATGGGCTGACCCCAAGGTGCGCAGTTTTAACTCTGCCAGAGAGTGCATACTCTCTCCAGAGAGAGGGAAAAGCGCCTCCCCCACCCCCCACCTATGGAGAATTCTTCCACCACAAGTTCTTCTCTTTCTTCTTCCCCTCTGGATTTTGGGTGCACATACACCCATTGTGTGTCTCTAGCCTTTGGGTCCAGAACTTGAACCTCACTTGGCAGCCATGTGAGATCCAGCTCCCCTAACTACCAGGCTATAGCTTAGTCCTTAAGTTGCAGTTTTAATGGAGATACGTAGGTTGTTTTGTTTAGCACCAGACTCAACTCACGTGTTAGGAAATTATGTTCTGAACTGACAGACCAGGTTAGTTCATAAGCAGTGGAGAAACATGAAAGGGAAATGCATATTCCTTCAGTTGCCATAAAGTATAATTGAGGTAGTTGATTCTGAAACAGAAAATAATATTGATATTATTATATTTTTCAATATCAAATAATTTTTATATGTCAGTGTGGCACAGCATAGAAAGTTTAGAGAGAACAAAGTTTAGAGTGAACAAAGGATTACTAGATGTGGTTTATTTACTATTAACAAGTTACGTCTTGATTTGTTTGTGATACTGTTTTTAGTGATTGTTTGATTTGTCTTTTTTTCATAACTGTAAAAGACAGGGAAAAATGCATTTTTTGTGGGAGATCTTGGAAAGATTGTGAAGAAACACAGTCAGTGGCAGAATGTGGTGGCTCAGATAAAGCCATTCTACACAGTGAAGTGCAACTCTGCTCCAGCTGTACTTGAGATTTTGGCAGCTCTTGGAACTGGCTTTGCTTGTTCCAATAAAGTAAGTATTTCTCAGTTTTTTCCACTAAACTACAACATTTTAAATTAGTTTTTAATTTATAGTTATGCACAGGAGTAGGAGAGCAAATGCAAGGAAGTTTGACTTGGTTGGAGTTTTTTTTTATTTAAATTTCCAGTCTCTTTGGAAATTTATGAACATTTCAATTACGCCAACTGCTGGTCCCAAAAAAGCTTTCTCTTTAATTTAAAAAATTTTCATTTGTTCCTCATTCTTAGCTAGAGTTAGCTCTTAGACCATTCTACTTCTTTTTTTTTTTCCGCTCTTGCTGTAAGGCTCATGTACTCATCAGAAAGAAAAGTGAGAGAGTATTTCCCTGGGGTGGGATGACCATCCCAGAATCCCTTCTCCTCTTGGGATTTTGGGCTCATACACATATTCACCCAATTCATTTTTATTTTAAATAATTATTTTGTTTAAATTTATTTATTTTAATTTTGATCAGACAGGGACAGAGTGAGAGAAGGAGGGGTGAATGAGAAAGCAAGCTGTCAGATCTAGGACCCAAATCGCTGTTGGCCGTGTGGGAGTCCAGCGCTCTTAAACCACCACACCACCCTCCGGCCCCACTAATTCATTTTTTTAACCATTTGGTCTCAGTCTTAAACTGTGCAGTCAGCCACGTGGGGTCCAGCATCTTAATCTCGACACCGTCTGCTGCCCCCTAAGCTACATCTGAGAACAAGAAACTGCTAAATTACTAGATTTCCTGGGTGGTTCCTTTTAAAAAACAAAACAAAACAAAACAAAAAAACAAGTAGTGTAGGAAGCATTATCATAATATGAACTGTGACATTACTTAATTTTAACCTCCTAAAGTGAAAAAAGCCTAAGTAATTTTAATTGAATGAAAAGAAAGAAATTTTGCTTTTTAGATGACTATTGAAAATCTACTTTCACAGAATGAAATGGCCTTAGTGCAAGAATTGGGTGTCACTCCAGAAAACATTATTTACATAAGTCCTTGCAAGCAAGTGTCTCAAATAAAGTATGCAGCAAAAGTTGGAGTGAATATCATGACATGTGACAATGAAATTGAGTTGAAAAAAATTGCACGTAATCATCAGAATGCCAAGTAAGTATAAAACTAAATCCTTGATGATAATAATATTGTATTACTTAAGGATCGGTTTGCTTTTAACCTGGAAAGAAGGCACATGTACTGTTGAGCAGTGATGTATACTTTAATGTAACTTACCTTGTTTGTTCCTATATGTAAAATAACTAGGAGCATTCTTTTCACTGCCTTCTTCTGATCCTTTGTTTGGAATTGGGGATGAAAAAAGGGCAGTTTGGGATATGATCCTATATTTAATTCAAGAAAGAAAATTTGGTGTGATAATCAAATTAGGGCCATAGCAATTTTTTTCTTTTCTTTACTTTTTGTGTTTTCTTTTTTTTTTTTCCTGTAGGGCACGTGTGCTCTCCAGAAAGAGAGCGAAATCACCCCCTGGGGGGATGGCCACGCTGCAATTCCTTCTCCATTATTTTCCTCTTAGGTTCTTGGGCATGCACGCCCAGCATGAGTTTAAGCCACCAGTTCTGGGGCTCAAACTGCTATCAACTGCATGGGAGTCTAGCAACATAGCCATTATGCCACCTGTTGGTCCTGCTGTATTTTCATCATTATTAACTCCTAGTTGACATGTTGGAAGCAGGATGTATTGTGGTCAGCTTTTTTCCTTTTTAAATAAGGGTGCAACCTACCTTTGGCTATACCTCTTGAATGGTCATTGTTAATGACAATATTAGGAGCCTAATTCATAAATACAATAAGTTTCTTTCCTAAGACTCACATTTTTCTTTGAATGTGAAGTTTAGTTTTTACTTATATCTGAATGTACCTAGAGATAATTTTTTTTAATTAGAAAGCTTTTTCCAAGTAAAAAGTTGTAAGACAATTCATGTTGTCATATGAACTTGTTGATTTTCAAGGAGCTATATATTCCTGAAAATGTATCTTTTATCTAAATACTTCTTTTATATAATTCTCTTATTTACTTAAATGGTGTTCCTAAGGTATTCTAATAACTTTGATTATTCTGAAAATCTTTGTTTGGATAAAGGCTTTATTTTTTGAGAAAATTATAGGGAACCACTTATTTTTCTAAAAAAAAATTTGTTCTATAATCTTCTGAAGACAAGTTTGGATTTGGCATATTTACAGTATTAGATTATAAATGGTACATTCTTAACAGAACTGATTTCTGCCCCTTGGTAGAATAATTTTTCTTTCATCATCCTTTCCCTCTACTCACTAGTGATTCGTCAGGATTTCTTGGCAAATTAGTTTTATAAACAGCATTTGTGTATTTTGAAGCTTTTAATGGTTTGAATTTATTTAACTCCTTATGAGAAATATTTAATCATTTCCAACATTTCAGGGCCAGCAATTGACATAATGGCTGTTGTTGAACTCCCATGTAGTCAACCATGGTTTGAGTCCCAGGCCTGTGTGTGCCCAAGATCCTAAGAGGAGAATGGAGGACAAGGGATTGTGATTTCTCACTTTCTGTCTGTGTCTGTCTTTCTGGCGAGCGCACACACCCTATAGCAAACAAAACAAAACAAAAAACCTCTCAAAGAAAAAAAAGTCTCTAACATTTTATTTTGATTTGGAAGGAAATACCAAGTAGATTTGAGTCAGACTAGAAGGCTGTTTTGTCACATAAAAGCAAGTTAGTTTCCCAGATTATTCCAGTTTAGAAACTGCTGGGGAATATTCAGAGTAAGTGATAAAGGGTTAGCTAGCTAAAACAATCGAGGGAATTTGAAGTTATTTAAAACCCTGATATTTGGGGGCCAGCAGGTAGTATGGTGGTTAAGGCACTGGATTCTACATGGCCAACTATGTGGTTTGAATTCCAGATCCCGCAGCTTGAAAAACCTGCTGTGTATGTGCACAAAATCCTGGGAGAAGGGATTGTGATGTGGCCATTCCCCCTGGAGGGTTGATTTCTCCCTTTCCCCCTCTCTTTCTCTCTCTCTGGAAGCACACCCACCCTATGGCAAAAATCTAAAACAAACAAAAAAGATCCTAATAATATTACTGAAAGACAGTAATGGCATTGCTATTCAATTTAGTCTTTCTAGGTGGATTTATGGACTGGTGGACTTCATTTGAAAGTAATGTCGTCTTTCATTACAGAGCCTAACCAACTCTTGCGGCTACAACAGTCTTAACTTGCTGCATTTTCCAAAATCCAGCCTTTTAAGCTTCATGCTTTAGGCCCTAATTGCTAGTTTTTTCTCTATACAGGATTGTTTTTCATTAGGTCACTTGATGCATCCGTCGATGGATTTGGGAGCACTGGCAACATAATCAACACACTTCCTACAATCTTCAGGCTTCACATGTGCTGATGATGATGTAAACCAACTCTGCCCCAATCATCTTCCCCTTCTCTTAGGGTCTTACTACATATTGCAACAGAAGATAACATTGGCGGTGAGGAGGGTAACATGAAGTTTGGCACTACCCTGAAGAACTGTAGGCATCTTTTGGAGTGTGCTAAGGAACTTGATGTCCAAATAATTGGAGTTAAGTGAGTATTTGTTTTATACTTCACTTTATATGGTGATTGTCTTTCTGGTTATTGGCTTAGAATGTATGTGTCTTTTTTTTTTTTTTTTTTTTTTTTTTTTTTTTTATCTTCTTGGGCACTTTAATAAGTTAGCCTTTGTCTATTTGTATGTGAGGAAACAGAGACCCAGAGAGGTTTAATGATTTAGGTGTATAAGGAGACACACTACATACAGGATCATTATGTACTGCCTTGTGTACAAACATAGGTGGTAGTCTTACAGATGAAAAGTTGATCTTGCTGTAGCCTACACAGTTAGATAACATTCCATATCAGTGTAGATAAGATTTTAGTTCTACCGTAAGTGACAGTACCGACATATTTGAGAGTTTGTTCATATTTTAACTAAATTTTAGTTTTTTAAGTTAATAGGAAAATTGATACAGAACCAAATTTCAGTTTAGTTTAAATATTCTGTTCTGAAACTGAGTATCACTGAGTCACGCTAATAAGTATGAGTATTATGTGACTTACTTAATGTTTGTATTTCACAATAGGCACAGTTATTTAGGTACTATTGAATATTCAGATTAAAGATTTTGTGTTCTATGTCGACTAGTGATGCTTGGTGCTTTACCATACGTACATGGTCCATTTTGTAACCATAGAACTTACTGCTGACTGGCTCATTTTAAATAAGTTGTTCCCTATAGAATTACAGTAGCAACCAAACATTACCTTTTCTAAAAAGCTAGCATTTTAATTTGGATAAATTAGAGGCTAAGTATTTGTAATACTTTGAATATTTGGCGAAATTAATATGGAGTATGATTGAAAGAGATTATAGGAAGTGTACTCTAAAACTTGCTGCTGCATTATAATACTCTATGTCTTTCAGATTTCATGTTTCAAGTGCTTGCAAAGAATCTCAAGTATATGTACATGCTCTATCTGATGCTCGATGTGTGTTTGACATGGCTGTAAGTTTCTTCTTAAATTGTGTTATTTTAAGCCATAATGTTATTTAAGATTCAGTATTATTTTACCTATATGAATTCTCATAACACATAATGTGACATAAGCCTCTTTTCACATTATTATTTGAAGCATTTGGGACTTTATAGTAACATATGTAAGTTGATAAAGAGGTGAAATGTTAAGACCAGGGAGACAAAACAAATTACATTGAAAATCTTTTTTGAATAATGGGGTGGGGGAAGAACTAAAGAACTTGGTGTCCTTAAAGGTTAGAATAGATACTTACCTCTCTAGGAAGAGGGTTTTTGAAGTATTCTCATGTCCATTACAACGTGAGAAAAGCATGAAAAGGTTTTTTTTTTCTGTCTCTAGGGAGAATTTGGCTTTACGATGAACATGTTAGACATTGGTGGAGGCTTCACAGGAACTGAATTTCAGTTGGAAGAGGTAAACTACTTTCAGTGAATGGACATAATCAGAATTATCACTCTGTTTTACTTTAGCGATGAATGAATAGACGCGTATTTTTATATGACAGAAAGTCTATATTGTCATTAAAATTTCTCTTAGAAGGTGAACAGCCAATAAGAAGGGCTAGCTAACTTTGAAAAGTTTGAAATTCTTTGAACCTAGGAACATTATCACAAGATGTTCTGTTTCAGCTGTGATTCCATATGAGATAGGACAGATAAACTCAATAATTTTGTATTGAGCTGCACGTCACTCTTCATCTTTCTGCTCTGTCCTCAAACTGATGTGAAATTTTGTTATTGTGTTGCTAGTGATCCAGTATTTAAAAATTACTGAAAAGACACCAGTAGGTATATTTGCTATTGGAGTTATATGTGTCCTTGTAAATTAATGTCATTCTGACTGTTAGAAGGTAAATTTTGGCTTGAAACCCGTGTGGTTAATTGCTTAAAAGTAACACCTAACTAGCTAAACTTCATGGCCTATCATTGAAACTACTTGATTTTTCTAGGAAACTTAGTACAAATCATCTAATCTAGTATTGAAACTATAATCTGGAATTTTAAATTTATAGGTTAATCATGTGATCAGTCCTCTATTGGATATCTATTTTCCTGAAGGATCTGGCATTAAGATAATTTCAGAACCTGGAAGTTACTATGTGTCTTCTGCATTTACACTTGCAGTTAATATCATTGCTAAGAAAGTTGTTGAAAATGATAAATTTTCCTCTGGAGGTAAGTTACAAAGTTCATAGTTTTGTTTTTGTTAGTAGGTAATTCCAGTTAGACTAGAGATGAATGGATGTTTCTAAAGTTGTGGGTTGTCTTGCTACCTCTTGGCGATTAGGGAGTTAAAAATGCCATAGCTGAGGCCAGCAGGTGGTGTGGTAGTTAGGGTGTTGTACTCCTGCATGGCCAACCACAGTTCTAGTCCTGAACCAAGTGGCTTCCTTTCTCATTTTCTCTGTCTCTCTAGTGAGCACATGTTCCCTATGGAAAAATACAAAATAATAATAAGTAAAATTAAATGAATAAGTAACTTACAAAAAAAATACCCTAGCCATGGTCTCATTCCATGACTTCATGAATCCAGCTCTCTCGGTAATACTGTTCAGATATGCATGTTTTAGTAAACTTTCACCAGATCATCAATCGTTGGCCCTTGTTCAGAACCACTGATTTTTATTTTTGTTTGTTTGTTTTTATTTGTTTATTTTTTTAGTGGGAGAGGTTTTTGCTATAGGGCGCGTGTGCTCGCCAGACAGACAGAGTCAGAAAGCGAGAAATCATTCCCCAGGGGGAATGGCCATGCCGCAGTCTCTTCTTTTCCATTGTCTTCTTGGGATCTTGGGCATGCATGCACACGCGCTTGGCATGAGTTTTGAGCCATTGAGTCTCGAACGCGAACCGCGGTCAACTACATGGAAGTCCAGTGACATAGCCATTACGATAACTGCTGGTCCCCAGAACCACTATTTTTTATTGTGCTCTTGGTTTTTATGTTCCTTCTACCTGAGGTAAGTCACAGGGAAATCTACTCTATGCTTTTTACTAGAACAATGACTAACAAAACCCCTTTAGTCTGTCTCTATTCAAACCAACCAAAAGGGACTAGGCAGTTTGTCTTATCAACCATTATCACTGTCGAGGAATACTGCCTTGTCTTAACAAGTCTTTATTTTTCACTGGGGACTAATCCACAGTCATGAAAACTGCCAAATTACCCAGTATTGTCCTTTTGCAGCTTTTCATTTTTCCTTGTTGCAATTCAATTCAGGGCACATAATACATTTTTTGTTTCTCCTTTAGTTTGGATAAAGTTCCTTGACTTATAGCTCTTTCTTTCTTTAAAAAAAGTCATCTGCTATAGAGCACATGCACTCACCAGAGAGAGAGAGAGAGAAAGCCGCCAGGTCTGGGACTTGAACCACAGTTGGCTATGTGGGAGCCTGGCACCCTAACCACCATGCCAGCTGCTGGCCCCAGCTCTTCCTTTCTTCATTATGACAGTTTTGAAAGAAATTTATTAGGTTTCCCTCCATCTGGGTTTATCTGACTCTTCCTCATGATTAAATTCAAGCTGCATTTTTGGCATGAGGTCCACCACAGTGATAGTCTAGTCTTAGTGCATCATATTGGGGGCACATGATTGGTCTGTTCTAACATCAATGATAGTAGGCGTTTTGGGTTTTGATTCTCTTTTGATCACTTGGTTAAGGTGTTGTCAGTCAAGTTTCCCTGTTGTAAAGTGGCTAGGTAACTTGAGATTGCAAATGATGTGTTGTTATTCATCAGATTTTCACCACATTACTTTTAGCAATTGTTGACTAATTTCTGACTCCATTATTTAGTCTATGTTGTACTTTACTTCAAGAATAGCAGCACCAGGGACCAGCAGTTAGCGTAATGGCTGTATTGCTGGACTCCCATGTAGTCGACCACGGTTCACGTCCCGGACCCGGTGGCTTAAAACTCACGCCGGGCACGTGTGCGTGCGTGCCCAAGATCCCGAGAGGAGAATGGAGGAGAAGGGATTGCGGCGTGGCCATCCCCCCGGGGGGTGATTTTTCACTTTCTGTCTCTCTGTCTCTGTCTGTCTGGCGAGCGCACGCACCCTATGGCATAAACCTCTCAAAAAAAAAAAAAGCATTTCCTTCCCTCCTGTTTCGTTATTTATAGCATCTCCTATATTATTGAGTATCTTACTGTACCAAATTTGGATTCTTTTGACATCCCCCAAGTCACATCTTTACTTTCTCATACATTAAGGTGTTCTAGACTTGACTTATTTTTATCATTTTCCTGCTCTGTCTTGTAACTAGTTTTTCAAGGGGCCCTGGTTCTTGTGGAGGATGGCATTTTAAAAACCAAGAAATGATTATTGGTTGTGCTAAGAGTAGAATTGCTGGGACACAAAGAATGAGTGTTTTCGAAGATTTTGAAAGTGGTAGTTAGCATTTTACCCCCTCCCACTGGCACTGTATTCATGGGAGGTTGAGTTGCTCTGCATCTGTCAGCCTTAAGAGTTTTTGTGGGACTGTCAGGTGGCATAGTGGTTAAGGTGCTGGACCTCCCACATGTATGACTGTGGTAAGAGTCCCTGATCTGGTGACTTGAAACTCATGCCAGACACATGAACGTGTGCCCAAAATCCCAGGAGGAGGATGGAGGAGGAGATTGTAGCATGGCCATTTTCCATGGGGGGGTGGGGGGGACGACGGCTGATTTATCATTTCCCCCCTCTTTATTGAGCACCTGCACCCTTTGCCAAAAAGCTTAAAAAATAAAAGTTTAGGAACCAGCAGTTAGTGTGATGGCTATGTCACTGGACTCCCATGTAGTTGACCGTGGTTAGAGTCCCGGACCATGGTTCAAGTCCCGAGTTCAGCCTGGCTTAAACTCACGCCGGGCACATGTGTGTGTGTGTACCCCAAGTTCCCCGAGAGTCGAATGGAGGAGAAGGGATTGCGGTGTGGCCGTCTTCCCTGGGAGTTGATTTCTCGCTTTCTGTCTCTTTCTGGCGAGTGCTGAATGAGTGAATGAATGAGGGAGGGAGGGAGGGAGGGAGGGAGTGGTCAGTTGGTGTATGTTATATGGTGGTGCATTTGCGTTTACTGGGCCAGTCCTGTGGCTTGGTGGTTGAGGGAGCCGGATCCCACAGGGCCAACCACATGGTAAGACTCCCATTGCTGCTGGCTTGAAAATATACCAAGCACATGTGTGTGCGTGCCCAAAATAACCTAACAGGATGGAGAAATGGAAAGGGTATTGTGGACTGATCATATCTCTTTGGGGAGTGTCTCCCCCATTTCCCCACTGTCTCTGTGTGTGTGTCTGTTTGTCTCTCTCACTAGTACACATAGCCTCTGGCCAAAAAGAGCAGAGTGCACTTAGGATATATGACTAATGATATAGAGCACTTTTTTCATGTGCTCTTTGGTTATCTTCCTTTTTGAAGTGTATATTCAATTTTTAGGCTAACAATTGTTTAAGAGGTTTGTCAGTAAATATCATTGTTAGTCTCTCAAATTATTTTGAGAGATGTGATAATTACCTTAATTAAGTTTTTTGATATTAATTCAGTCTGTTTGATATGCCTCTTAACACTAAGTATTAGGTATTTTACTGTAACTTAATCTCCCTCATTTCCATTTTATTTCAGTAGAAAAAACCGGAAGTGATGAACCAGCTTTCATGTACTATATGAATGATGGTGTTTATGGTTCTTTTGCAAGTAAACTGTCTGAGGACTTAAATACCATTCCAGAGGTTCACAAGGCAAGTTTATTACAAATAGTATTAAACCCTATTTGGCAGTTTATAAACTGTTATAAGCTGTTAATTTTAAGATGCCTCCCAAATTTTTGAGAAATGATCTAGAATAGTAGAATGCCACTTTTTGGAGGATTTACATTCTTCTGTCTGAGTCGTCTTTAACCCATTTTCTTGAAAAGGAGTTAAATGGTACCATTGACACTTAAGAAGGAGCACCCCTACCCTGACTGCGGATCTTTTATCCATGGGCATAGGGGATCTGAGAAAGTGAAGAATGCTTCTTGTATACCTACTAATGCAGTACTTTCATGAGTGTGAGTAAACATTTAACTAGAAAAATTTTGTTTTTTCTTTCCTACAGAAATACAAGGACGATGAGCCTCTGTTTACAAGCAGCCTTTGGGGTCCATCCTGTGATGAGCTTGATCAAATTGTGGAAAGCTGTCTTCTTCCTGAGCTGAATGTGGGAGACTGGCTTATCTTTGATAACATGGGAGCAGATTCTTTCCATGAGCCATCTGCTTTTAATGATTTTCAGAAGCCAGCTATTTATTACATGATGTCATTCAGTGACTGGTAAGGTGAATTTATTTTAAAGCAGAAGGGATCATTGGGGTGATATTTTAGATTTGCTAATAACAGCTACAAATGTGTAACAAATAAAAAAACTTCCAAGTTAGTACAAAAATTATAATCTCTTTTTTTTTTTTTTGGAGAGGTTTTCGCTATAGGGCGCGTGCGCTCCCCAGACAGACAGAGACATAGAGACAGAAAGCGAGAAATCACCCCCCAGGGGGGATGGTCACGCCGCAATCCCTTCTCCATTCTCCTCTCAGGGATCTTGGGCACACACGCACACGCGTCCGGCGTGAGATTTAAGCCACCGGGTCCGAGACGCGAACCGCGGTCAACTACATGGGAGTCCAGCGACATAGCCATTACGCTAACTGCTGGTTCCCAAAAAATTATAATCTCTTAAGGATTATTGAAAGGCTGGTTATAGTCCTACTTCACTATTTCTCTTGTGATTGTGTGGTCTTTTGGGCTTAAATTCAGAATTTTGCTTATTCTTTTTATGTGTAGGTATGAGATGCAAGATTCTGGAATTACTTCAGACACAATGATGAAGAACTTCTTCTTTGTGCCTTCTTGCTTTCAGCTGAGTCAAGAAGACAGCTTTTCCACTGAAGCTTAAACAGGCATTAATGCTTCTTTAGATCTGAAGTTGCAGGTTAAGCTTGTCTGGTCTACATTCCAGTGTGGAAAAAAAAATCAGTTTCATCCTGTTAATTCTCTCGGAAACAAAAACTATTAGTAATAGCTGTTTGGGACCAGACGAAATCAGCTTTCATCTATAATTCATTGGGGGCATTGGGAAATTTAGATAATGTATCCAAATTTAAATTTATCAGTTTGTCCTACCCCTTAAGCATTTAAAATAAAATATGCAACAAAATGGATGACTTAGTGGAGATGGAAGCCCATTAATTGGGTTCCCCATTAAACCGCTTACATACAAGTACACAGTTTTTATACTAAGGATTTGTGTTAAAAGTCTTGTAATGTCTTTCACCCAGATATATCAAATATCAGTGAAGGACCAGTGTGACTTCATTAGATACGTTTAGTGTATTTAGAATGTGTAAATTTGTGCTTTGAACTGTAGTTTAATAAATGTAAAATTGCATCATAGTATTTGTTGTATTTGACCTAATGTAACCCTTGTATGATTGCAATAAAATTTTGTGTAGATTTTACTGTTATTTTTTTTTTCAGGCTAAAACTTTTGGGAAAGGGGCTAGCTAGCAAAGGTAGTTTTGAAATAGATGTGTATATGGACTGTTTTGAAGGTTATTTTTCTTTATTGCCCATATAAGTTTAGTTTGGCTCAATTTTTTTTTTCATTTATTTAACAAGTAATTTAAGTAAAGTGTTTGGTAAATCATTGTGAAATCAGATTCATCATGGAGAGTTGATGTGCAGCAAGCATGATGTTTAACAATTTTAACACCAAAAATGTTAATCCTGCATAAGCGAATTGTAATAATTAGTAGGTGTTTCTGTATAGATAGACTGCATAGAATACCTTAGTAAATCTTTGCATCACAAATCTTTTGGCTGAAATGGAAGATTCTATTAAATACTTTGATAAACTTGGGGGGAGGGAAATAAAATTGCAGAGAACTGCAGAGCACTAAAATGTAAAGAAGGGCTGCATCTGTATCCAGAATCCTGACGCTCTTTTGCACGGAATATTTAATTCAGAGTTGGAGGGGGGTGAAGCACACTTACATTCTTCAGTTTCTCAATTGCAGTGATTTCAAACTTTATGGGTGTTTTTGTTGGTTTGAACTATTTCACTAGTTTCATGTTATTTCCCATTTGTTCAACGTTGTAATTACTTTTAAATCTTTCAGTACTAAAATTTTATGGTTGTTGGGGAAGAGAGTTAACGTCACTAACGTGACATTTGTTGTCAGGAAGTTGCTTTGTTACTGCTAGTATGTTAGTAATCCTAGATCTCAGAATCACAATAGTAATAATATAAACAACAGGGGTCATTTTTCCCTAACTTACTCCATGGTCAGATGTGGAATTTCTGTCATCCAAGAGGAAATGTGACTTCACTTTGGTGCCAATAGACAGAAAATTCTACCAGTGCTACATAGGAGAAGTTTGGGATGCAGTTCATATCTGGTTTTTACACCTTGATTTCAAGGCTTGAAGAAAATGATCATGAATCTCTAATAAATTTCAATCTTTTAAACCAGTAGGTGCTTAATACTTTTTGATTTGATTAATGCCCATTTGAATTTCATGGGTTCTGTTCATAAAAATTTAGGGCCTCAATCTGTTGTCAGTCAACTGCCCTTGAGCTTTTCTAAGGGTAGTATATGGGGTTTTATGCAAAATTAACTGTAATGAGGAGGAATTGTTCCCTACCTTCTCCACATGTACATTGTTGTGGTCTAGAAAAGCCAAACCTTTCTAAAGATGGTACAGTGTTGAGTCATTGACTTCACTATACAGGCTTGAGCTTTGTGGCATATCACTTTTGTCATATGCACAGGAGGAGCTATTCTTTGTGAAACAGCTCAAAGTTGCAAATATCCCATGTGAGCGATACAGTAACAAGAAATATCTATTGTATTTGAAGACTGTTTGCCATAAATCTGAAGTTTGAACCTATGTATTTCAACTTGGTTTGCAAAAAAAGTACTGAATTAATGTAAATTTTTTTAACAATATTGTAATCTCAGCACAAAATTTAACTGAATATATAGAACCCAAATGATTTCTATATAGTAAATTGAACTGTAAAGGTAACTTGTGTGTGATTCTGAATACACAGATAAAATGATTTAATTCCTCCTCATGTTTTACTTTGATGGCTTCTATCGTCAAACAGGTGAAATTGGACATACTAGCTTTGTATATAGTAACTTGGAAACATTCTTTCTGGTTGTAACATGCTTTATTACAAAGTAAGTTGAACATAGGAAAGAGATGCTGGGAGTTACATAATAAGATCCATGAAGGTTAGATAAAGCCCTATATATAGTTGACCTTGAACAACATGGGTTTGTACTGTGGGTCTGCTTATGTATAATTAGGTGGAATTTTAAAGAAATAAATAAACAATAGAAAATACAGTACAGTACTGTAAATATATTTTAGTCTCCTTAAAGCTTTGTTATATGAATACAGCATATGATAAATGACAACGTATGAAATGTGTCTATTGATAAACCTTGCAGTCAGCAATAGTCTATTAGTAGTTAAATTTTGGGTAAATGAAAAGTTATAGATACTTGCTGTGTGGGTGGGGTCAGTGCCCCAACTCTCATGTTTGTTCAAGGGTCAGCTGTATATATGAGCACGAGATTGTAGGCTTACCTTTTCTAGATGCCAGCATTTCTAACAGCTTTAAACTTGGGCTAAGTGGCATAGACTTATATAATAAATTAAGCCAGATTTTACTCTAAGTAAACAGTGACACCGTTTAGTGCAGATACTGGGTTAGACATGCCGTTTAGCCCCTTCTTTCGCCCATGTTTTTAGTGTATATTTAGTTGCTGTCTTAAGATTTTGCTGAACTCTGTTGAAATTAAAATCAACATCTTTTTGTTCTTTGAACCATTTTAGCTGGGTAACAATATAAATTAAAATTCTCAGTATTTTTCCAGGAGGAATATTAAATTTTAAGGTTTGCTTTTTTAGGTAGTACAGTGTACTAGTTAAAAGTACAGGCTGTGCAGTATCTTGACTCGGGTTCTGTTTCTGTCACTTAACTATACTCTTTCTCTGCTTCAGTTTCCCGAGACAGAAAGTGATGGTAGCAAAAGTACCAGCTTCATGAGGTTATGAACACAAGAGTTGTAATTTCTTAGGACAGTACCTGGCACACAGGGTTTAGTGTACATCTGATCTGTGTCATCAACTAGACAATATTCTGTTCTCGACAAGGGCCTTGATTTCTGTGTCTCCTGTAGGATACAGACCTAACCTTGCCCCAGATGATTGGGAATTAAAGGAAACTAATATTGAAAGTGCCTAAGCGTGCAGTGCCTGGCACATGGATTTCAAATGACAAAGTGACATCTGGTTATATTTTGTCTTAAGACATTAGCATATATTCAGCCTTCTGCTTTGACCTTAGAAAACTAGGTAGGGGTGGAAGTTAGGGGAAAGTTGTATAATGCTGCCTGTTGATTTGATTTTTTTCTTTTTTAGGAAATTGTATTTATTGGCGCCAGCAGATGGCATAGCAGCCACGTTGCTGGCCAACTGCAGTTCAAGTCCCGGACCCAATGGCTTTGAAACTCACACCTGGGCATGTGTACATGTGTCCAAGATCCCAGGAGAAGGGATTGTGTGGCCATCCCCCTCCACACAAAAGTGATTTCTCACTTGACCTCTCACTGTCTCTCTATTTCTGGTGGTGGCACACACACTAAGGCTAAAGCCTCTAAAAAAAAACCCTATTTTAAAATGTTTTCCGTAGGGCAATTGCACTTGCCAGGGAGACAAAATAAGAAATCAACCCCCAGGGGGAATGGCCTTCTTTGTTTTGGGATTTTGGGCACACACATACCTCTCCTGCCTCGATGTTCAAACTGCTGGCTTTGGGACTCGAACCATGTTTGACCATGTGGGAGTCCAGTGTAACTGCTATACCACTTGTGGGCCCTAGTTGATTTGATTTGAATACAACCTTGCAGGATTACCTAAAAGCAGTAATTAATTACAGGCACACTTGTCAGAAATCAAAATTTAAAAAATCCTATATTCAAGCTGCAAATAAATCCTATGAATAATTTTGTGCATCCTTTTAATAAGGCAGAAAAAAGTATAGTTGCAAGTACTTGCAGATTGCAGGCTTTTGCAGTGAGGATAAACTAGGGATCAGACAAAACCTAGATCTGGCCTTGCCTGGTATTTGTTAGTATCCGATCTCTCTCTTCACCTAAAGTATTACCTTCCCAGTTTTAAGGGTGACTTGGTTACAAGACTGAAATATATAGGGCTGGCCATGTGGCTAACTGGTTCAAACGCCAGCCCTGTCCATTTCACAAGTCTCAGGTGCATGTGTGTGCCCAGAATCCCGACTGTGGAATCAGAAGGAGGGAGGTTAGTGATCAGACCTCACTGGGGTATCTCATTCCTGTGTGTGTGTGTGCATAAGCTCTCTTACCATGAACAGAAATTTTAAGAAAAGTGTTTCTATGAAAAGAGCCTTCTCTTTCTGTCCTGGAATCAAATTCAATTAAGGACTGTGTAGTTAAGTTTTCTCCGTAGCCCCAGTGTTGCTAATTTCAAGCAGGAGAAAGAAATTTATGCTTAAATTTGAAGAAACTTCAGTAATGTATGATCACGTATTTGAGTAAGTTGCAGCTAAGCAGAGATGCTCTCTGATTGGAAAGTCACAGTCCCTACTCTTGAACAGGAATTGTTTTTTCTTTGTTCAGTACAGGGGGTGGGTGCTATCCTCTTCATCCAGAGGATTGCATACTGCACAGGACACAAGCCTCCCAGGCTCAGGCGGCTTCCTGACTTCTGTAAAACAAGTTGAGAAATTCGTGTTTTGCCTTTTGGAAGGAAATCAGGACTAAATTTGCTTTGTCTTCATGGCAATTAGTAGAAGGCTTAATCTCCATAACACGCCCAGTTTGTGTTGTCTCAGTGTATGAAAGTGGAGTGGGGTAAGAACCATCTAACTGCTGAGCTCCTTGACCTCTGTGTTACAACTTAACTTCAAAAGCAGTTCCATTGTTAATGGTCCTTTAAACCCTTTGCAGTTGACATGTGGTCGGGCGTTGGCAGAGGGAAGGGTTGTGTAAGAATATGAGATTGGGGTACCAGCAGATGGCATAATGGTTACATCACTGGACTCCTACATAATTGACTGCAGTTTGAATCTCCAACCCAGTGGCTTTGAAACTCACGCTGGGTGCCTCTGTGTGTGTGTGTGTGTGTGTGTGTGCGCGCGTGTGCATATGCATACGCGCACATGAACACTCCAAATCCCAAGTGAACAGGGGAGAAGGGATTGTGGCATGGCCACCCCTGCCAGGAGGTGATTTCTCACTTTCTGTCTGTCTCTCTCTGGCGATGTATGTGCCCTATAGCAAAAACCTCTCTTAAAAAAAGTACAAGAGTTCGGACCAGCAGTTAGCGTAATGGCCATGCCGCTGAACTCCCATGTAGCCTACCACGGTTTGAGTCCCAGACCCGGTGGCTTAAACTTACACCGGGCGCGTGTGTGTGCGTGCCCAAGATCCCAAGAGGAAAATGGAGAAGGGGTTGCGGCATGGCCACCCCCCCTGGGGGGTGATGTCTCACTTTCTGTCTCTGTCTTTATGGTGAGTGCACGCACCCTATAGCAAAAACCTCCCCCCCCCAAAAAAAAAGTACAAGAGTTTAGAGTAATCTAGTAGAAACTTATCAAATTTAGCACCAGAGTTCAGTAAGCCCCTTTTCCCCCTAAATCACGGTGCCTGACTTTATCTAGTAGGGACCTAAATTTGGTCATCACGCAAAGTGGGGGCACTTGGCTAATATTTAGGAATTTTCATTCTCTGGATTTTATTGGATTTTTCACCAACCCTCTTTTCTTTTGCTAGAGAGGGTCTGTACCTCCTGGGGAGAGAAGACACAAAAACACCTCTCTCTTTTGGGGACACAGGCACACCAGGCCTGTTTCTCAACCTGCTGGGTCTGGAACTTGAACTGACAGTTGGCCATGTGAGATCCAGCTACCATGCCAGACTGGCCAGGGTGGTTCTAA